TGGCCGTTGGGGAGAACAGGAAGAGGAGCCTGTCTCCCGTCGCGGCGCCATGGAGGATTTCGAGGAAATGCGCAAGGAATTGACCCGCCTCAGTTTGCACCAAACCCGTTCCGCTACTCGAGAAGCTCAGCGACTGCGCTCGCGCGCAAGCCAGGCGCGCGATGAGGAGAAGGCTATGGAAGACGACGACGATGACTTGTCCGGCACCACGGACAGCGGTTATGGCGGTTTCGACCTCAGCGAGTTCTTGATGGGCGGCCACCTCGAACGCCGGACGACCGCAGGCGAACCCGCCAAGAAGGTGGGCGTGGTGTTCAAGGACGTCACCGTGAAGGGTGTCGAGACGGGTGCGTCTTTTGTTCGTACCCTTCCGGACGCCGTCATCGGTACCTTTGGACCCGATCTCTACAACATTATCTGCAGGTTCGCCCCCAAACTCCGCTTTGGTCGCAAGCCCCCCGTGAGAGACTTGCTTCACGAGTTTACTGGTGCTGTGCGGGAAGGTGAGATGATGCTGGTGCTGGGAAGACCTGGTGCCGGTTGCTCCACCTTCCTCAAGACCATCGCCAATGACCGAGAAGCCTTCGCCGGCGTCGAGGGTGAGATCAGCTACGGCGGTATGTCCGCGGAGGAGCAGCACAAGCACTTCCGTGGTGAGGTCAACTATAACCAGGAAGATGACCAGCACTTCCCCAACCTCACGGTTTGGCAGACCCTCAAGTTTTCTCTCATTAACAAGACCAAGAAGCACGACAAGGAGAGTATCCCGATCATCATCGATGCTTTGTTGAAGATGTTCGGTATCTCGCACACCAAGAACACCGTGGTCGGCAACGAGTATGTCCGCGGTGTGTCTGGTGGAGAGCGAAAGCGTGTCAGTATCGCGGAGACGCTGGCTACCAAATCCTCCGTCGTCTGCTGGGATAACTCCACCAGAGGTCTCGACGCCAGCACCGCCCTGGATTACGCCAAGTCCCTGCGCATCATGACCGACATCAGCAAGCGGACCACGTTTGTCACCCTGTACCAGGCCGGTGAGAGCATTTACGAACTCATGGACAAGGTGCTGGTGATCGACCAGGGACGCATGCTCTACCAGGGTCCCGCCAACGAGGCGAGACAGTACTTTGTGAACCTTGGTTTCTACTGCCCCGAACAGTCGACCACGGCCGATTTCTTGACTTCCCTGTGCGACCCCAACGCCCGTCAATTCCAGCCCGGCCGGGAAGCTTCGACTCCGAAGACCGCGGAAGAGCTCGAGTCCGTGTTCAGACAAAGCAGTGCCTACCAGCGTATCCTGGACGATGTTTCTGGCTATGAGAAGCAGCTTCAAGACACCAACCAGGAGAGCACCCGTCGCTTCCAGAAGTCGGTCGCCGAGTCGAAGAGTAAGACCGTGTCCAAGAAGTCGCCGTACACCGTTTCTCTGGTCCGCCAGGTCGCCGCCTGTGTGCGTCGTGAGTTCTGGCTGCTCTGGGGTGACAAGACCTCGCTCTACACCAAGTACTTTATTATTCTTTCTAACGGTTTGATTGTCTCGTCCTTGTTCTATGGTGAATCGTTGAATACCAGCGGCGCCTTCTCTCGTGGTGGTGCTCTGTTCTTCTCGATTCTGTTCCTGGGCTGGTTGCAGTTGACGGAACTGATGCCGGCGGTCAGTGGTCGTGGCATTGTTGCCCGTCACAAGGATTATGCCTTCTACCGTCCGTCAGCTGTTTCCATTGCTCGTGTGGTTGTGGATTTCCCAGCCATCTTCTGCATGGTCGTTCCCTTCACCATTATCGTCTACTTCATGTCCGGACTCGACGTGACCGCTTCCAAGTTCTGGATCTACTTCCTCTTTGTGTACACGACGACGTTTTGCATCACGTCCATGTATCGCATGTTCGCTGCGCTCTCGCCATCGATTGACGACGCTGTCCGATTCAGTGGTATCGCGCTTAACGTGTTGATCCTGTTCGTTGGTTATGTCATCCCCAAGCAGTCTCTCATCGATGGTTCGATCTGGTTCGGATGGCTCTTCTACGTCAACCCGTTGTCTTACAGTTATGAAGCCGTTCTGTCCAACGAGTTTGCTGGTCGGCTCATGGACTGCGCCTCATCGATGTTGGTCCCCCAGGGCTCTGACTTGGATCCCAGGTACCAGGGATGCTCTCTCACCGGCTCTCAACTCGGGCAGACGCAGGTCTCGGGTACTAACTACATCGAGACCGCCTACCAGTTCACCCGCCATCACATGTGGCGTAACTTCGGTGTCGTCATTGCCTTCACTGTGCTCTACATCCTGGTGACCGTTTTTGCTGCCGAGTTCCTCTCGTTCGTCGGTGGTGGCGGCGGGGCCTTGGTATTCAAGCGTTCCAAGCGTGCTAAGCAGCTCACGGCGCAGAGCGGCAAGGGAAGTGACGAAGAGAAGACCCAGGGCGCTGGTGTTCAGGCCCAGTCCAACAGCAACAGCGACTCATTCAACCGCATCTCCTCTAGCGACCGCGTCTTCACCTGGTCCAACGTTGAATATACGGTTCCCTACGGCAATGGCACAAGGAAACTTCTCAATGGTGTCAACGGCTATGCTAAACCCGGACTCATGATTGCCCTGATGGGTGCTTCCGGAGCTGGTAAGACTACGCTCCTGAACACTCTGGCTCAGCGTCAGAAAATGGGTGTGGTCACTGGCGACATGCTTGTTGATGGCCATCCTCTGGGCACCGACTTCCAGCGAGGCACCGGCTTCTGTGAGCAGATGGATCTCCACGACAATACCGCTACCATTCGCGAAGCTCTTGAATTTTCCGCGCTGCTCCGTCAGGACAGAAACACTCCGGATGAGGAAAAGCTTGCCTACGTCAACCAAATCATTGACCTTTTGGAACTCGAGGAAATTCAGGATGCCATCATTGGCTCCCTCAACGTCGAGCAGAAGAAGCGCGTCACCATCGGTGTCGAGCTGGCTGCCAAGCCCAGTCTTCTTCTTTTCCTCGACGAGCCCACTAGCGGTCTGGACAGTCAAGCGGCCTTTTCCATCGTGCGTTTCTTGAAGAAGCTTTCTCAAGCCGGACAGGCCATCGTGTGTACGATCCACCAGCCTTCGTCCATGCTGATTCAACAGTTCGACATGATCTTGGCTCTGAACCCTGGCGGTAACACTTTCTACTTCGGCCCGGTCGGTCATGAAGGACGCGACGTGATCAAGTACTTCGCCGACCGTGGTGTTGTCTGCCCTCCTTCGAAGAACGTCGCCGAGTTCATTCTTGAGACGGCAGCTAAGGCGACCAAGAAGGATGGCAAGAGCTTTGACTGGAACGAGGAATGGAGGAACTCGGAGCAAAACCAAAAGATTCTGGACGAGATCAAGACCATCAGAGAGGAGCGCAGCAAGATCCCGCTTGATGAGCAGGGCGTGCCGTATGAATTCGCTGCTCCTGTTACGACCCAAACCTACCTCCTCATGATGAGACTTTTTAGACAGTACTGGAGAGATCCCTCTTACTACTATGGAAAGCTTTTCGTCAGTGTCATCATTGGTATCTTCAACGGATTTGTAAGTACCCTTGGCTCTGGCTCAGCCCTCTCATGCATAGTTACTAATCCATATAGACCTTCTGGATGCTCGGCAACTCCATCTCTAGCATGCAGGACCGGATGTTCTCGATCTTCTTGATTATTCTCCTCCCGCCTATCGTCCTGAACAGTTTGGTTCCCAAGTTCTACATCAATCGGGCACTTTGGGAAGCTCGCGAGTACCCCAGTCGTATCTACGGATGGATCGCATTCTGCACGGCCAACATCATCTGCGAAATCCCGATGGCTATCATCTCCGGACTGATTTACTGGCTGCTGTGGTACTACCCGGCCGGTTTCCCTACGGACTCGAGTAATGCCGGATACGTCTTCCTCATGTCCGTGCTTTTCTTCCTATTCCAAGCCAGCTGGGGTCAATGGATCTGCGCCTTTGCTCCGTCCTTCACCGTCATTTCCAACGTAAGTTATTCCGTTTCCAGAGTTAACCAAAGCAAACAATTAACTCATCCACCAGACTCTCCCCTTCTTCTTCGTCATGACCGGCCTGTTCAACGGTGTCGTCCGTCCTTACTCTGCGTACCCCGTGTTCTGGAAATACTGGATGTACTACGTCAACCCGGTCACCTGGTGGCTTCGCGGTGTCATCTCGAGCGTCTTCCCCACCGTTGACATCGAATGCGCCTCCTCGGAAACCACCCACTTCAACCCTCCCCCCGGCCAAACCTGCTCTCAGTACGCCAGCGACTGGGTCTCGAGTGCCGGCGTCGGCTACCTCTCCAACCCCAACGCCACCTCGGATTGCCAGTACTGTCCCTACGCCAACGGCTCCCAGTACATGCACACCCTCAATGTGCACGATGGCGACAAGTGGCGCTGCTTCGGTATCTTCCTCGCCTATGTGATCATCAACTGGTTCTTGGTCTACTTTATGATCTACTGCGTGCGTGTCCGTGGCTGGTCTTTTGGACTTGGCTACGTCTTCGCCGCGCTGGGAATGCTCTTCGGTAGCATTAAGAAGCTGTTTGTGAGATCGCCCAAGGCGTAGAGCTGAGGCTTTGCCACTGTTTCCTACCATAGTATTCGTCTGTTTGATGGATGCTGGTGGGTGGGACTCTCCTCCTTTGATATATTATGGGAGGAAGAAAAACAAAACAAAATACAAAATTATCATCATAAAAGATATATACAGGCCCGTGTAGCCTGAGATACGCGATGAAGCAGCAGGAGATAGAGAAAAGCATATTGGTTCGGATTTCTTTTTTTTTCCCTTCTTGGTTTATATTATCATGCAAGATAGATAGAGATGCATTAGCGTGTGTGTTTGTCGGGTGGGCTTGGCTTTTTTGGCCAGCCTTTTCTTCATGTTGTTTCTTTTTTTTTGGATTATATTTTGATCCATAATAGGTACATAATGCATATCATTCTATAGAAAAATTCTATATTATCCTTGCTAGGACTTGCTAGGAGTAGTACTACTAATAGTAGGGAATGTGTATCAGATTGGGTTAGATCATTTTTTTGTTACACAACATATTTCACAAACTCCTTATCCCTATCAAGAACAACATCCAGACCAGTAAAACACAAACCACTCACACCTTCGTCCTAACTCACCACTCGGGTCCAACATCAACTCTGACTCTCCGCAAAAAACCACGGCTTCCTCCCCCCACTATACCTCGCCCCCGGCACCCGCATCGGAACCGGAACAGTATCCCCGAATATAGCGGGGAGGTTTCTCCCGTCGTCGTCATCATTATTGGTTGACGATGAAGATGATGAAGATGATTCAGAGGCTTTGCCTTTACCTTTACCTTTATCTTCGGATATCATCTTATTCTTGACCTCTGGGGTATCCGTCTTGTCTTCGATAACGGGGACTATTACGCCGCATTCCCAGTTTCGGCAGTTCAGCTTGGGAGATTTTGTTGAGCGGTCTTGGACGAGGCGGCCCCTGTTTGGAAGAGAGGTGGGGTGGGTTAGTGAGTGTTGGGTTGGGTGAAATTGAAGGGTTGGGTATGGATGGATGTGATATTTATGAGGAAATACGTACCAGGCACTTTCGGATAGATTGGCACTTCCGATGTATGCCCATGCGCGGCATTGGGTTGATTCTGATAGAGGGATGGGTTCATCGGGGCGGACGTAGAGGATCTATTGTTTAGTGGGGGGTGTGGTGTTAGAGATATTGAATTTGTAGAGAAAGAGGAGGGGATAGGGCGGTAAACGCACCTTGTTATGCATTAACAAGCCTTTTCTTTGACTTTCACAGTCTCGGAGTATATGGCGTGGGAAGTTTTCTCCGTTATACCATCTTGATTGGAAGCAGATGGTGCCTGCGCAGCGAGGACCACCTTTTGAAGTTGCGATGGTGTTCTGGGAAGGAAAGTAGAGACGGAATCGGTCTTTCCATTCGGTGCCTGTGTCTTTCTTGAGGAGTTTGGAGGGATCGTCGCGTCGGGGGACAGGACATGATTTGGAGTAGCGGATTGTGAATTCGGTAAGGCCGTCGTCGCCTTTTGATTTTGGGAGAATTAGGTGTTAGTGCCGGGTTTATGGGTAAGGGCAGGGGGTTTGGGAGTGTGTATACCTTGTGAAGCGAGGTACAAGGAGCGGAGGAATTGGTCTGTTATAGCGCCGACAGAGGAAGCCTTGACTTGTAAGTATGTAGTGGATGGTTGTGGCAAAAGGTAGATGCTCACGATGAAGTCGATGTTCAGTGGTACTGATGTACGAAGGTTCATTCTTTCCACTGCACGACCTAGGCCGCAGTAGCCTGTTCGTCTCCATGCAGTATCTGTGTGAGAGCCACCGCTGGGACTGTTAGCTATATTCAATGCGTCTAGTAGCAAAAGGGGACATACATGGTGTGAACAAAGGCATATTTCGATGTTTTGCTAAAGTCAAAGCTGTCAAGCTTAGCGATGACGTTCTCATGAAGAGTACTGGCTTTGAGGAAATGAACCAGATCTTCGTAGAAATGGGTTGTTGGCTTCTCGGCGCCATTCTTTTTCGGTAAGTCAATAAGAAAGACGCTCTGGAGGTGTGTCAGCAGGGGTCCAAGGGATAGGCGCTCTTGTGCTTATTACGTTCTCCATGACTCCGTTCATCTCACCCCAGTCAAATGGGGTTAGATTAGCTGTCGGTACCACGAGGCGAAGATATCCAGGGTGGAAGAGCAGCATCAACTTTGAGTGCATGCAAACGACCTGCCCACCCATTGGTGGGAAGCATAACCGCAAGTTCCGCATGGTAGCCGTCTCTGATTCGTACTGACGTTTCTTCTCTGGTGATTAGCTTATTCTAGACAAGGCTCGATTCCAGGGTGCGAAGGACAATGGAGAGTGCTCACTGTAGCCTCATCCTCCGCCTGCATGACCATAATGAAACGAGTACTCTCAACATTAAATTTACTGAACAGCCAATCCATCTCCCACATGAATGAGCTCAAGACCGCAAGCTCCAGATCAGACTTCTGCAAGACCTCTTCAATCTTGATATCGTCCCCTTGCCGGGGACATCCAAAAGCCCATGTCTTTTTGACAATACCCTCTGGATATTGAACCGACGGTGAAGTAGATGGGATCGACCTAGAACTTGTAGGCTGTGATGCAGACATAATCGTACCTTTAGTGGCCACAGTGGGTTGGACAGTGGGCTTTGGAGCTAAGTCGATCTTCGAGTGCTTAGTCTCACGGAGATCAATGGAGCTAGTATCCTCGGCCTTTCTCTTAGCAAGTCGTGCGAGACGCTCTTGCTCCATCTGCTTGCGATCGAGACCGAAGATACCCATGGATTTAGCAGGTTCTTGGCCGTTTGTCTTCTCTTCGACCTCTTCTACTGAGGGAGAATCAGTGCCTTGGGGCTCCCCTTTCTCAGAGTCGCTAATTTGTGGATAACTAGAGGCGTTCTGCGATCCTCCTTGAGCGTCTTGCAACGAGAGCGCGATAGCTCTCTTTAGGTCTTCATCATATTGATCATCATCACCCGCCTCATCATCCGTGTCAGATCCTATTACGGACTGCGACTTCGGAAAGATGGGTACAACGTCATCTGAGTCGGACTCCGCTGTGAGATCAACAACCTGTCTCTCGGAGCTGCGACGCTGATCGGGTTCAGAGTCTAGATCAAATGTCTCAAACTGGCGTTCCCCTTCATGTGGAGCCATATTGAATGATTTTTTAAATACCAGCAGATATGATGAGTGAGATGATAGATCCAAGAAAGAGGATAGAATGAAAGTGAGGGTAAAGAGGGGATGAGTCGGTAACAACTAGCGGAATAAATAAAGGCCTGATGGTAGTTCGTACCGGAGGTTGTCTGTTTATCAGGCCGACGCTAGAGATGCTTCAGCGCAGCAAAACAAGCGCAGCACTGTGTTCATCAAACAAATGACTTGAGAACTAAGCAAGAAGTCTTACAGTTAGGAAATGAGAAGGTTGAATGGATTTGGAGGAGGTTGTTATGAGAGAGGAAGTGCAGGTTCACTTCACACCCTGGGATCCTGGCAGCTGGCACGTGACCGAGACGGGCTGAGCTGGAGAGCACCAGTTGAACCCCAATGCACCAACAGGGCAGAAGGATGCAGGATACTAGATATTTATATCAAAAGGAAATGGGGATATATTTTGAGCTGTAATTTACTGGGTCTACAACTCAGAGCATTAACTATGTGGCTACGCTGTAAGTATTCACTACCGGCAACTTATGTTTGATTGCATTTGGCTAACAAGACACACATGCAAACAGTTGGCCATGCACAGCTGCTTCAGACCACGGTGTTCCCGACTATCACAGGTGGCCCCTTCTGCCAGCATTAGCACCTAGCTTTGACCTCAGGTTGCTGCTTGAGCTAGAATCAAACAACATGTCCAAACATCCCGCGCATCGTCGTTCACCTGATGACATGGCGGGAGTGGTTCCGTCAGGAGCTCTTGAGAGCCAAGGCTTGTATCAGAGCCTGATGCAAGAGCACAACCGCCATGACCCCAGCAATCGTGGGTAAGTCGTGCTCGTCTTGTTTTCGATCTCGGACTTGTTCGCAGCTAACATCGGACGCCGACAAGACCAGTAGTTCGTTTTGTCAAGCCCTTGTACGACAAAGAATCGGGGGCTGTTAGTGATTTCGAAGAACATGACAAGCAGCCAAAGTACCGTGAGGTAGCCGATGAACAGATCATTAAGATGCTTAAAGTAGCCCGGTTTGACACACAGCCAATGTCGAAGTGTCTCCTGTACCGTCTCCCCTTGGAAGTCAGACTAAGAATATGGGAATGCCTGTTCCCGCACAACTGGAGTGCCGTGGAGCTGGAGGAATTCGCACAGACGACAACGGGCCTCGCTATCCTCCTGACCTCTCATCAGATCTTCCATGAAGCCTTGCTGGTCTTCTTCTATTCGCTTGCATACAGCAGGCTTGTCCTCAAGGAGTATGGAGGCTCTACTGCGCATTACCTCAAAAGTGTCCCCTTGAAGTTGGATCGATGCATTTATAAGCGTAGAGGATTCATTTGTCTCGATATAGAATGCGACGAAGAAAGAGAGTTTGGATCGCTTGTGCTTTCACTTGGTGACAAGATCCATGAGACGGCAGTTCGACGTCGCTGGGGTTTCGCGCTCTTCATTACCACTTTGAGAATGGAGGGGCCCTTGCGTGTCCATGATCTGACCGTCGCTGTCACTGAAAATTGGAAAATTCCCGGATTTGACGAGAACGATTTGGTCCAGGCTCTGTTCAGTGGGGCCTTCACGGTCCTTGGAAGACTGAAATTCGTGGGCTTCACTAGAATGGAGCGAAGACGTCTCACCAACCTAATACTCGCGAGGCAGGACCCGTGCGTACAGCTCATGCGACGTAGGGATGATGCCGAGGATATAGTTGGGTAAGTGGTAGTTCCTGGCATAGAGTTGGTCATGTCATTGGGCCATCTTATTGGCTCGTTAGATGCATTGCAGCACGAGGTCAATGACGGCAAAGAAAACAACTCGATCCGCGTCAGCAGTTTCAAGCCCGAGCCCCAAAACGAGCATGCGTCTCTCATTGGGCGTCTTGGTGACAATGGCACTGGCGATTTGACGAGCATAAAGCTGACCAACTACTTCATGTCCAGGAGCCCGGCCACCGAGGAGTGACGTGGCAGTCAGATTGCCAATAGGAAGAAGACTGTCCTCCGCAGGCTCGGGGATGGTGTGAAAGCCCTCTGTTCCTGGGTTTTTGTTCTCAAGTGGCACGTGCAGCTGAAGTAGGTTAGTTGAGATGACAAAAGCATGGCATGATTATTGACTAACCCAATGTCCTAGTCGGCCTTTCTGCGAAATGGTGATTAGAATCCTATCACTGAATTTGATCAAGGTGACATTTGTCTGGATACCCTTGACATCCCCAACAACCTGCTTCGTGACTGCGGGGTAGGGCAGGTTTAGATCCTGAAGTTGGTTGATGTCAAAAGGTTCACTATCCATGGTTGTTTTTAGTGTGATTTAAGTTAAGAGATACCCTGACAAGCAATGAGATGAACAAATTCTCTTCTTAGGATGATGAAAAAAAGATAAGAATAAAACAACAACACTGTGATAAACACAAGGAAACGCGACGAAGCAGTAGAAGAGGAGAGAGAAGAGTGAAGAGGGGTGACTGGCCGTGAAGTACATCCTAGGCGGTGAGGCTATACTCACCGCTTTGCGGGCAGAATGTGGCCGCCGCCTGATTTTTTTCACGGCACTCTCTTATCGCTCTTCACTTTTACTTTCAGTCTGGGACCTGGTTAACTTTGTCTTGCAATTAAGACAAAGGGTCAAGTCTAGTGATCATGCCCAAGTTTGTCCCCCGCCAGCGAAAGCAAAAGCACAAGCAGAGGGAGGCAACAACCGCTCCGGTAGACACCAATGTTGCCGAACTTGCGCCCGTCTCCAAGGATGAGAAGGAAGCTAAACGGCAGAAGCTAAAGGAAGAATTGCGAGCACAGCACGCTCAGGTTTCTTCCAAGAAGCAGAAGCGCTTGGACAAGTATATCGTGCGTGCGCCTCTATATTGGCCATCCTCTATCGTTATTTCTAACACTTGGTACAGGAAAACAAGCTGAAGAAAGAAGAGAATCTCGAGCTGCTTAAAAAGCTCGCGCAATCCAAGGTTGATACCTCGGCCCTCCAGAGCTCCAAGGAATTAGGAAAGCGCAAGCGACAAGATGAAGTACCGGCCGTATCTAGAACCGCGGATCACGACTCGCGCCATGATCAGGACCTAGATTTTTCGGATGACGATTCGGACGATTCGTTGCCCCAATCGAAGACCACTGTTAACGAATCTAAATCCGAAGCCCCCGCGCAAAAGCCCGCAGAGAACCCAGCGACCGGTATCGGGTTGAAGCGCCCTCTGGAACTCGGTCCGGATGGGTTTCCGGTTCTCAAGAAGCGAAAGAAGGTTGCGAAGAAACCAGAGATAACCATCACGATGCCGGAAGTGCCGTGGGAAGGATTTGGCTCAGATGAGGATCAAGACGAAGACGAAGAGTCCGAAGAGGGCGAAGATGAAGATTCAGAGGGAACATCGTCCGATGGCTCAAGTGACGAAAGCGGCAGTGAGGGTGAGAGCGATGAGGACGAAGATGAGGATGATAGCGAGGAAGACGATGAAGAGAGTGAGGAAGATGACGACGAAGAAGGCGAAGAGGAAGAGAAGCATAAAGTGGGCCAACCTCGACAATCCGCCTTCAAATCTTGGGCCAGACAGCAGATCAATGATGCCATCGGTTTCAAGCCTACCACTGTTCCAGTCGTCGAGGAGCAGGCGTTCATTCCAGAACGCAAGAAGCCAGTCAGGAACACTGTTGCCGAGGAGGAACCCTTGCCCTTGGAACTTCAGGTCACCACGGGGGACCCCAACCGGAAAGCCTTTAGTGTCCAGGTCAACCGGTCAGAGGAAATACAAAATGCACGCTTGGGACTGCCGGTTGTTGGCGAGGAACAGAAGATCATGGAAGCAATCTACAATAACTCCTCGATCGTGATATGGGGTGCCACTGGTTCCGGAAAGACAACCCAGCTTCCCCAATTCCTCTTCGAAGCGGGCTATGGCAACCCCAACAGCCCCAATCCAGGCATGATCGGAGTAACTCAACCACGCCGAGTCGCAGCAGTCAGTATGGCGAAGCGTGTAGGCGAAGAGCTGGGCGAATTCTCCGACCAAGTCTCCTACCAGATTCGCTTTGAGAGTACGGCATCCAGCAAGACCGCAATCAAGTTCATGACCGACGGTATCCTCATCCGCGAAATTGCCGAAGACTTTTCCCTTAGCAAGTATTCGGTCATTGTGATTGATGAAGCCCACGAACGGAGCGTCAACACCGATATTCTCATTGGAATGGTCAGCCGCATTGTCGACTTGCGGAAGGCTATGCAGGAAGAAGACCCGTCCGTCAAGCCTCTGAAGCTCGTTGTCATGTCTGCCACCCTGCGCATCTCCGATTTTACACAAAACCCGAACCTCTTCCGTCAAGGACCGCCACCTTTGGTTCAAGCACAAGGTCGCCAGTATCCTGTCACCATCCACTTCTCCCGACGTACCAACCGCGATTATATCGAAGAGGCATTCCGCAAGGTGTCGAGAGGTCACCGCAAGCTGCCTCCGGGCGGGATGCTTGTGTTCATGACCGGACAGAACGAAATCCGTCAGCTGTCCAAGCGTTTAAAGCAGGCCTTCAAACCCACCCAGCGCGGCGAAGCCACTCAAGCCAGGGTCCAGATCTCTGCCAACGATGCACCACTGGAGGCGGAAGATTTCGAGATCGGCGGTACCGATCTGTCACTTGCTGGCAACCAGGAAGATGACGAGAGCGATTACGAAATCACTGGACTGGATGAACCCGAGGAAGATGAGGACGAGTTTGATCTGGGTGAAGAGGCCATGAGCTCGACGACGCGGGTCCATGTACTCCCATTGTACTCTCAGCTTCCTACCAAGGAGCAACTTAGGGTTTTTGAACCCCCGCCGGAAGGCTCCCGACTTATTGTCTTAGCCACCAACGTGGCTGAGACCAGTCTTACAATCCCCGGTATAAAGTACGTGTTTGACTGTGGTAGAGCAAAGGAGAAGCAGTACGATCTCGCAACAGGTGTCCAGAAGTTCCAAATTGAATGGATCAGCAAGGCCAGTGCCAACCAGCGAGCTGGACGTGCTGGTAGAACTGGACCTGGTCATTGCTACCGTCTGTACTCTTCGGCAATCTACGAGAACGAATTCGCCGAATACACTGACCCCGAAATTCTGCGGACGCCGATCGAGGGTGTCGTACTTCAGATGAAGAGCATGGGACTCCACAATGTCATCAACTTCCCATTCCCTACACCCCCCAGCCGCGAGGGTCTAGCCAAGGCCGAAAAACTCCTCAAGAACCTGGGCGCACTCACATCTGAAGGCCAGATCACGCAAATAGGTAACCGCCTATCTACATACCCTCTGTCTCCCCGATTCGGCAAGATGCTGTACGTTGGCCACCAACACGGCTGTATGCCGTACGTCATCGCACTTGTGTCCGCCCTCGCAGTCGGCGATCTGTTTGTTCCGGAGAACCAGATCGATCCTACACCAGCGAAGGACGATAGCGAGCGCAACGGTGTATACACGAACGCGGACCGTCTCGAAGACACTGCCCGGGAACAGCGCCACAAGGACTACGCTCGGGTCCACCGTCTCTTCAGCAAGCACGACGACACATCTGACGCACTGAAGTACCTGTCGGCGATTTGCGCCTACGGATACGCCTCCGACGGCGACGCGTTCTGTGAGAAGATGTTCCTGCGCGCAAAGGCCTTCAAGGAAGCCACGCAGCTCCGCCGGCAGCTGACGGACATCGTGCGCAGCAACAACCCGGGTCTGGTTCAAGCCTATCAGGCACGCTTGCCCGAACCGACCGAGAAGCAGGTCAAGGCCATCAAGCAGATCATCACGGCCGGGTTCATCGACAATGTTGCTCTCCGTGCTGACCTTGCTCCCGTCCCGCCTGAGATGCACCGTACCCCCAAGCGAGCCATCGATGTTCCCTACTTCACGCTGATGAGATCTCGTGACGGACCCGGCTTGGAGCTGGACGAAAAGGTTGTCTATGTGCACCCGTCGTCTGTCATTGCGCAGCTCTCCGCTAAGGAGATGCCTCAGTACATTGTCTACTCGCATCTCCAGCAATCGTCGCCCTCCATTGTATCTGCAGACCAGACTCCTAAGATCCGGATGTATCCCCTCGCTACACCCAGCGGGCTACAGCTGTCCGCGCTGGCACATGGAACGCCGCTGATCGAGTACGGCAAGCCCATTGGCAAGACGGAGTTGATCGAGGGTATTCCTCAACGGCGATCATGCTGGGTGATCCCGTCGCTGGTAGGTGAGGCCGGCGGAGCGCGGTGGCCGCTACCAGCCAAGAAGGTCATCCAAAGGAAGGATGCGAAGGAAGGATGGGTGATAGAAAAATTCGTCGCATAATGTATGTATATATATATACCAGACGCTTACAATTACAAAAGTGATGATGATGCAATAATCTGCTTATCCCAATACCTCCAGAGGATGAATCTGCCGTAGCAATAACAATAATAAAACGTAACCAGCACCCATGATACCAACCACTAACACCATATAATAAAAGAACAAAAAGAAGAACATGAACAACCTATTTCTCCTCCTTAATCCCCAACGCCCTCCTCAACCTCTCACTCTCCTCAATCTTCGCCTCCGCCAACTCATGCACCTGATAACTCTTAAACTGGCGTCTCTCCTTAGGCGGCAAATCCCACGCCCTACGACCGCGTCTCCCTGCACCACCACCACCACCACCACCACCATTCCCACGTTCCCTCTCCTTTTCCTCCTCCTCCATCTCCCTAACCAACCTCTTCCTCAACGCCTCACACCTCTCATCAATCTCCTCCTCCGTCAACACCTTCTCTTCACCACCCTCATCATCCTCATCCTCCTCACCCTCCTCCTTCTTCACCTCATCATCCTTCTTATTCTTAGATCCCTTCTTCTTCTTGGATCTCTCCTCCTCGATCCTCTCATTCTCCTCCTCCAACCTCTCCCTCTCCTCCATAACCTTCACTTCAATTGCGCGCCGCCGATCATGTTCCAGGATCTGCTTGTCGGGTTGTCGCTGCTTGAAGGGCTTGTCTAACGGGTGATCGGAGGAGGAGTTCGCGCCGCTGATGGGTGGGTAGGGCGCGCCGTACCCGGCGTTGCGCGGCTTCATGAATGCGAAGTTGCGTTGTACGTAGCCGGAGGTGCCGCTGCCTCGGGGGGTGGAGAGGCCGACGTTGGAGGACATTATGTTGTTTGAATACTTTTGTTTTCTCTTGTGGTTGTCTGGTTATGGGTCTTGTGATTGTGAGGTGTTGTGTAGTTTATTGTGAGGGTTGGTTTATGGCTGTGGAAGGTGGGTGGAGGATAGATATTATTGCTGCTGGAGAGGCGAAGGTCTGGATCGGCGAGTCATGCGGCGATGGAGGGAGCTTAGTGTCACGTGATGATAAGGGACTGATAAGGTGGGAGTGGAGGGAGATCAAAGTTGTTTGGTTGGTGACTTACGTTAAATTACTGCAGTTCCTCTACAATAACTACTTGAATGCGATAGTTGAATCAGCAACGGCAATGCTTTTCATTTTGATCGTCTGTATACCGAGACAGCAAGGCCTCTACATACTCTAGGCATCCCTTATATTCTCCCTATTTCCAGGTCTCCCATATGTCCATGTCCAAGGTCCCGTTTTGTAACCCATCGAGGAAAATCAAGCGCGATGTCCCATGAACCCGTTATTCACCAATAAAGACGCCGGCCCCTCGTGTGTGTGTGTGGACAAAGAGAAACAGAAAACATTGATAAGCTATGGAGGCATGTCCTCATTTTCATCACGTCGAACTTCAGAGTAACAGAAGAAGGGGAATACACCGACAAGCAATTAAATGGGTAGAGGGGTAGAAAAAAAGTATCAAGAAGTGAAGGGAGGGCTGGAGGCGAAGATTGAACGCAATGTAAAAATAGCAAAAGGACATCAATTTCCGCCGTCACCCTCGTTGTAGCGCCATAAAGCCATGAAGCTGGGCATGAAGGTAATGAAGCTCCGCGCTTCTAAGCCTCTTTCACGCCCATAATATGTATATCCCCAAATATTAGAAGCAAGTTGGGGGAATGTGCGTGACCAGTTATAAAGATATAATTCATAAGAAGTAAGAATAACGTTCGGAAGGTAACAGGCCTAGGTGCTGCCAGTGACTTCGACAGAGTCGCTGGTGACCGGGTTGGCCGACTCGCATTCCGCCAAGGGCGTCACCGTGCTTTTCGCCGTATGCTTAGATTCCGAGGAGCCATCAGCATTGCTCTGCGTATCGGTGGGAGGCGGGGTCGGGGGAGCGGCGCCAACCACAGGAGCACGGCAGTTCTCGACACCATTCACAGCCCTTTTAGAAGGCTGGGGGGAGGACTTGTGCGAGTTGGGGGGCGTCGTCGATGTGGCTGCGTGGGCCAGGGGGGCGCCGGCGGGTGGCATGACCCCCCCAATCAACTTTTCAATCGCCACGATCTGCTTGCCATAACTGAACTTCTTCAATTGATCAAGCATCGGCTGGATGCGTACGGCCAGACTGTACTTCTCTTCGGACGTGTCGTCCAGCTGTCCAAGGATCTTTTCTACAACGGAAGTTAGTAGTCATAATATGGGCGGCTTGGGATGCAACTTACGGATCACATAGTTGCCGTACTGATCACGCATGAGGCTGATCAAGGGGCTGTCACCGCGCTCGTTGACACTTGTCAGCGTGCTAATCATCTGCCGACGTTGAGACTCCTCGCCGTATTCAATGCTCTTCTCGACCACATTGCTGGCGAATTTGTGCTTGGAATAAGTCAAGAGCTGCGACATAACCACTACAATCATGCGAGACCGGTCTTTATCTTCACCATTCTCAATGACATGCTGGATGACATAGTTGCCAAACTGGTCCGTGATCAACTTTGACGTGCAGGCATGGAGTTCACCCAAGATAGACTCCCGGTCCACTTCCTCGCAGTGCTCCAGCATGCGCTGAATGACACGGCACCCGTATGGGTGTGTAGCCAGTCGGTCAACTTGGCCCTTGAAGGCATTTATGATAAACTGGACATATTGAGACGGGACTCTCTCGATGGCCTTCTGGATGACATGATTGCCGTTCTGGTCCCGAACACAGCGAAGGACGTGGCTCTCCAGTTCTTTGACCATTGATGCTTGCTGATCGGTGAGGATGTGCTCCAATGCCTGTCGCAGATTAGTATTTCGTATTGGCAGCCGAGCAGAAGACATTTACCTTTTGCACCACGCGGCACCCGTACATTTGGGTAGATAGGGACAGGATGTGTCCCTTCATCTGGTTTGCCAAAATCTTCTTCTGGGTCTGGTTTCCGTGTTCAAACAGCTTCTGAACAACGTAGTTGCCGAACACATCCGTCATCAACTGCAAGCTGTTGGGCTGGATCTCGCGGAACACCTGTTCCTTCTCATCGCTGTTGGCCGTCTCTAGCTTCTGTTGAATGAAGCGCGACCCGTGCTGGTCGCCACTGAATTCCACAATGTGCCCATAGATATCCTGACTTGACATTAGCAACATACTCTCCCGAGAGCCGACCTGACCATTACTCACCTTCAGCTCGTAGCGCTTGTTCCCCTTGTTTTGAGCCCTGAACTCCTCTAGCACTGGACTCCTGACCACTTGTGAAGGATCATGGTCACGATGACCCCGAAGGGCTGCTGCGCCAATCTGGGCGACAGGATGGTAAAACGAGAGGGCGTTGAGTCTCTGTGCTTGGTAACCCGCAAGATCATAAGCAGGAGGAATCTGGACCCTGTGCAGTGGATTGACTGCCTGCTGCGAAAGCTCCTGCTCGGCTCGTAGCTTCTGCTCCAGCAGGGCAGCTGCATTTCCCGTCACTTGACCTGCGGAACCGGTCCGGAAGTGTGCGCCATTATCCTGGGCATAGAAGGGGCTGTCAATGCGATACTCAGTAGGAGATATCGGGTTTGTGTCCTGGACACGAGATCTACTCGGCTGGTATCCCAATGGTAGCTCTGTTGGCACACCTTCGTTACCATAACCGGGCGGAAGTTGGTACTCGCTCTCGTCACCACCGTTCTGATATTTCAAGCGCGTCAGACTGGCATCATACGATTTGTGTGGTAAGTAGGCTGGACGATTAAGGCCCGGATGTCCCGAGAAATTGCCCTCGTTCAGCTGCAGCTTGTTAAAACCAGAGCCAAGATCGACGGAGCCACTGCCAGACCGTCCCTCGTAGCCCTGGCTCTCGGAGTGAAATGACGGGTAGGTGGAGTGAGCTGGTCGTTGTGGTGCGAAGGAAGCCGAGTTATGCGCAGTATGGGAATATGAGTTGCGGCCCATGTGCTGCGTCATGTAATCGGGTAGAGCAGACTGCAAGGTTGACATGCCCATCGACGTGGTCACATCATCGGATCTTTGATTGTCCAGTGGGCTTGTGAACCCTGTCTTCATCGGAAACCCAGATCCCACAGGGCTACCGCCAAAGGCAGCAGAAGTGTTCACCTGCCGCCTGCCATCACCGTTTCTCATTCCGAAATTGCCAAGGCCCATGCCCTCGCCTGACGGTGAGATGCCGTCCGACCCGGTGCTCAGGTAAGCTTTATGCCCAGCACCGCCACTTGATCCAATCCCCGACTTGGGCAGGGCAAAATATGAAGAAGAGTCGGTACTATCAGGAATCCCACCCGCGCTGCGCTCATTGGCGCGTGTTTGTACGGGAGATGTAGTCATGCCGCTATTCGGAGCCCGCGACAAGGTGGCCGCCGATGTGTTGATCGTAGTCCATGGCAGGTTAGGACGGCTATTCCATCCATCGGATTCGGAAGAAGAGAGCAAAGAGCTTGACCCAGCCTTACCCTCGAAAGCATTCTCCACAGTGTGCTGGTCTGTAAGGTCCAAGTCAGCGGCAATATCCCAAGTAGACAACTGTCCAAGGAGCTGCGTACCATCCAAACCGCTTGCCCATATACTGCCATTCCAGTTTCCGTTTCCACCACCGAAGCCTGTCCCCATACTTGAGGGAGCTCCTCGCGTCCTCTCACCATTAAACCCTGATGAAGTCATATTCCCCGACCGGCTTGAACGAACCTGTGTAGCAGTCAACGAGCTAGTCCACTTGCCACTTGTCCGGACACCACGTACATTATGAACTGAATTCTGGTTGGAAGCCATTATGAATCCTCCCCGTAGATATGAACCACACCGTAAATGTTCACCGTATGAATAGTCGTTCGTAGCCGACTGTAAGGGTGTTGTATGACGTCGTTATCCCTGCACTATCGTTCCTGATACACTAGATGACAATGAGGCTGAAGTGATACGGATAATTATACGACCCGTAATGGGTGGATCGAGGCACGAGGTGACTGGTGAATACCGAACTGCACGAGTCAGCCATCCGATCAGACTGGAGATCAAAGCACTTGTACCCAGTTGCGAACTGTTAGATGAGGTGTAAACTTACAAAGGAGCGAAGAATCAGGACACCAAAGGAAAGGGATGGAGGAGAGATAGGGTGGCAGCGAAGACGTTGCCGAAGAATAGGATTTGGATCGGGTCCAGAATAGACGCGGTCAGGCGCTGTACAAATTATACAGGGATCGAAGGGGGGACACGAAAGGGAGGAGTAGCGTGGCAGGCGAGAAATGCTAGGCGGAGGAAGGAGGGAGGCCGTCAACAACGCAAGGTGACAAGAGCTTGATAAAAAGCGGTTTGCTTTGTCCACCCACGGCCCAGCGAGTAGCCGTAGATCGAAATCGCCAAAAAGTATTGCGACGTTACTATGCTCCGTGCATGCTCCAGGAAGTTCGAATCTTGCAGATCGCCCTCATGTGCCCTTTGAAGGCAAAGGGAGGGATGGCCGACACGGGGGGGGTTTTCGTTTAATCAGACAGAGACGTTAGGAGCTCGGACGAATCGCAGCGGCAAGGGGGGAGGGACAAAGGGTTAGAAAGAGGGTGCAGTTGGTATGGGCGGAGAATGTGCTTGTTGCGCAGAAAAAAGACGTGATTAGTGGAGGGTCGAAGGATGGGAATGTGGACGAGAGACAAGGCCCAGCATTAATATAATTCAGCTGTGACACAGACAAGCGCAAGCATGACACCCGAAGTGGTTCCGAGCAGATCAGTCAGGCCTTTTTATCCTTTTGTCGCAGGTTCGGTTCGGCCTCCACCACTGGGCGCTGGATGGCGAAAGTTTGGAAGGGTGGAGGGGAGGGAGGGAATAACGACAATAAATGACCGAAGAGTAGAGATAATATGATGACAGAGCGAGAGGGAAGAAAACGATCAAATGATGAAATGAGGAGGTTTAAAAAAGGAAAATATAAAAAAAAAAATATAAAAGAGGAAAAAGTTTAAAAAGGTTTGTTGAGAGTGACGGTCGAAATTAAAGCAGGGAAATGGGGGAAAAAAGGTTATTTAATCGAATTAGGGAAACGGGAAAGAAAAAAAAAAAAGGGTCTGGTCTGGTCAATGTGAGAGAAAAGACCAAGATTGGTAGCACAAAAAAGAAGCACCCCAAAAGGTCCCCCAGATTTGCGAAGAATGACAAGGGAAGGGAGAGATGAGGAGAGGGGTGGTAAGAAAAAAGAGGAGATGATGAGGGAAAGAAGAAAAGAAAAAAGAAAAAGGCGAGAGAAAATCCAGATGAAGGAACAGGGGGAAAACCTGCAGGCTTCAAGGACAGTGAGAAGAAGGGAAAAAAGAAATCACCAACGGACCTCTTTTCTGGCAGGGCGCAGGATTGATTCGAGGATGAGGATTGGAGATGATAGATAAGCTGGGCAGGTCAAGCTGGAAAAAAGATGCTGCGTGTCTTGCGGCAAACGACCGATTCTTTTGGCGCCCATCGGTAATCTTACCGGCGATGACAATACCAGACGATCTGTCGATCCCATCAGGTACTTGGCAGGCGTACGGCCATCGCCGCTGCTGGGCAGGTACCGGGCGTATCGCTCTGCCCACCAGGCCCCGTCTGATACACGACTGGATCTGGGGCCACCCAAATTCGTTCCCGCCGCTTCTTTTTTAGGCTTCAATCTAGGCGGCCCCTCTCTCTTCCTCTTAGGGCTGTTTTCTCCCTCTCTGATCGGTCGCTGCCATCACTGTGAGCTTAGTATTTAGTACTAGATACTTTACTTACGCTACAAATATACTTCCATCCACTGATATGCGACCGTCCCCTAACTCTCTGGAATCCCTTTCCGACCCGGGCCTCTCCTCTCTCAGTAGTTCTTCTTTGGGAAAATCATGGTTTCACGAACCACATCGGAGACATCCACCCAACAGCAGGCATCTCTGGTTGACCGCTACAAAAATTCACCCTCTAACCTTTTCGACATACTCATCTGCTAATCTACCCCTCGCTGTTGCGTAATAGATTATTCTTCATTATATCGGTTTCTTAAATGTTGGCTGATCACGTACTCCATCGGCGAGATGACGGACCATGGTCTGGAATATCTTTGGAAGGTCCGAGAAGCTGTCATTGTCGATTACTTGCTGCTACTACTAACCCAGCCTCATCGGACATGACTTCCTAGCCAACTCTGTCAAAATGGCTTTGACTCATCTACTGGCCAACTGACCACCTCTGGCTTCCAGACTCTTCCGATGCTGACGATGATCGAAGCGGGGTAGCATCTGGGGATAATTCCAGAGGTTCCGAATTCTCATTTGACCGTCCCTTGGATAATCACGGGCCACGGCTCCCATTGAAGATTTGCGGTAAAGGTTAAGTTGCGCTCCAGCCCGACCGATCGGATCCACTAAACTAGCTTGTTTTCTGGTGATGAATCAGAGTTTATCCTCGCCAACAGTTAACAATGGCCTGGTGAGGTCCGTGATAAATTACCTACGCTATCATTCACTAATTTATCCCTATGTAGGGGCGGGATGATAAACTGTATGATAAATTCGATCATCACCGGGCGTAGTTGAAATAGGAGTCTTACTACTACTATGAGCCACTGCCCACTGCAACTGTAGTAACTACTAGTGCTTATCATCAACCTGGATTCCATAATAGTCCCATAATATGATCATTACTACTTCCTATACATGCAAGCCCCCAGACTTCCAACCAACTCGTTGCATGACCATGACAACATAAGCCCTGCAGCGGCCATACGCCCTAATACCAACAGATAACTACCTCTACCATTATCAGTATGGCGCAATTGTTACCAACTTGCATCTTATTGGACATTGCATCTAATGTGCTATCCCTTCCAGGATGCATGCCTTAGTGGCCTTGGGTTCAAATTTGCCAACTACTTCAACCCCAGTAGGCACAGCAACACTCCGAATATCCCAATATCGACTATGTTCCCGCCTAGATATTTGAAAGTCCATTGCTTAGCACACTCTTCGGTTTTCCCCTCTGTGCCAACCTCAGGTAGTAGAGGCACGCATGGCTAACAATCTATCTCGGCGGGCCTTCCGGAGTATCCCTTGCATCCCAGTAGGACACAATCACAGCGAATTAGGTTTCATCCGCCCTGCCTGTACAATGGCCGCGGAAGACAGGGGCTGTTATTCTGAACGTAGCTCACATTGCCGGCCATTTTTGCTTTATCACGGATTGCCCATTGGGGGATCTCATGGCATGCATGTATGTATGTGGTGTAGCTCGAGTCGACACCGAGAAAATGACCTTATCACCGATGAGCGATGCGATTGATTGCGAAACATGCCCATATAATGAACGATAAAGAGGCAAAGCAGGCCGTTGCAAGAGGCCATCCGCATATACAACTCTTTTGCCTTGCATGCACATCAACTAGTGGCACCCCGCTAGTTCTTTGTTTCCAGGACATTAACTGTTCTTTTTGTAAAGTGGATCAAACAGGAAAAGCAATGCACACCACCAAATGAAGAAAAGAAAGACTGGAATCGTGGGGAGTCGAGCGGGAATTATTTCCAACCATTCCTGGCGTCCTCCTTTCTAACCCAGCAATCCACAACCCCGTACAAGGATTGCAGATCCCTGCCACGACTGGGAATTGCTGTGGGACCGGACTCCGACGCGCATGTCATGGCAAGCACGACGTATTCGTGATATATGCTTCATGATAATAGCATTATCAGTACTCCGTACATCTGGCGTACTCGTGTCTCTCCTCCTTCTGGATACTCGAGAGGCTAGTGCATCTAAGCCCCCCAAAGTGTCTACGGATACGGTCTTCAAGACACTACTAGCACCAGGACTGGTCTGCTCTTATGGCAGCGCCAGATACAGTAATCATCATGCCACACGCATCAAATATCACACGTGCCGCCGTTTCGCCATCCAAGTGGGCGACCAAACCTGTTAAACAAGAAAGTTCCGTGGACGGAGAACACCTGTCGAGCGGAATAATAAATCCTATCGATGCTGTCATACTGATTGCTATGAGTCACATCCACTATTCTCCGCTCGACACGTTTCTATCCCGCTGGGGTAAAGGAAGGTTTGTAGCGCGGCTGGTCAACCATGAAAACCTTCCCCATCAACCAGCACAAGCATCTCCCACGACCTCAACGTGTTTGCTAGTACCACGTCACTATGCCTTGCTGTCAGATACTAACATCCGCGTTGGTTCTCACATACCCCACGTCAGGCTGAGACATGTCTCGGTTGTTCCTGTCTGTACATCAGACTATCGTCTGCCCTTGCATGTCCTCGAGGGAGTCCACCCGCCTTGTTGATGCCGTGTCTCTAAGGCTGAAAGGGGATAACCCCAAATATTTTAGCAATTTTGCACCAGTTGAAGTCGGGTTGTTGGTTTCTCGAGATAATCCCTGCCACATATGCTACCAGTTCTACATTAATGCAGTTGTATTGCTGGTTTGCCCAAGATAACTCCAAAAAATCATCGTTTCGATGTAGACTGCGCTAATGAACCATTGTGGATTCAACGAGTCAGTCTACACCCACCTCTGCATGAATCAACTGCTAGGAGTGAGCTCTGAGAGGGGCTACTATGAAGTGGCGGGCGTTGTTAACGCTAGCCACCACTAACTTGCCGCCAATTCTGGGACAAAGCCACGCGCGGCAGGCTATGGACAAGGCTTGCGAACCCGCAAATATGACATGGGCTTTCATGTCAAGGGGTGCCAACTATCTGAGAATCTCAGAACGCAATATTATCCTGGCAGAGCAGAGAATTATTTCCAAAAGCCATCACGTTACCTTCCATTGATTGTATATTGTCATTCATCCAGCTTCGAGTTGACATCCATTTTCTACTGACTCTAATACTGACCCTGACTTGGCAACACGGCGCCTTTATTACTCTACGTAATACTAATCCTCACTTCGAGTGCCATATCTATCTATCTACTCACCAAGTACAGCTTCGACTGGCTCGGTTTGTCCCCTCTATAGACATACCCCGATCGTAGTCCTCTGAGAGCCTAGAGAGATACATCGCCGACGCTGCAATCGCAGCTGGTTTTGCGAATAGATTCTCTATACACACATGTTAATATTGGCAATGCATACCTAGCGACAACATATTGATAGATATTATCCTGAGATACGTCGCTCGTGGTTGTGTTACAGACCAGCTAAGCTATGACAGGAAGCCGCAGGAAACAATGGAATTGAGGTGTACTCGAGACCAGAAGTTTTGAGCAAAAAATTGTCAAGCATTTAGAAATCTAACCTTGGCACAGTCATTATCTCAGTCGAATATTCAGCGGCTTCTGAATGCGCTAATGTGCCCTCGAAGAAGCTTCGGGTAGCCGCCTTACATTTATAGATGTCAAAGAAGACCAGACAATCTCTTCCTCAAACCATGCAAATGCCATATCGTTCTAGTAAGTACGATTACAGTGCCTGGTTCATTGAATATAACGAGGATGAGCTTTTTTCTGTACAATTGCAAAGATACTCGTTCCTAGCCAATCGGTATCCGTGTATTCGACAGACATTCGAAGAATACACCCACAAAACTTCCTATGTATTCATCAATGATATATACCATCTGGGAATAGAAAGGTCATGTCTGTTCTCTGCCATCACTTCCATATAGAAGGCGCAGGATTACGCCAGACATCCAATATAAGATTTAAATCTCCCCCAAGCCTCCAACTTGAAAGCGACTACTATATGTGTGGACCAATGTGCACTAGATATGATCAAGCACCCCATTAACTTAGGTGACAATATGTAATTACGATGGTTCTTAGTTGAGATTAGGCACTTTCAACTCTAAGATGTTTTTCTTGCGAGATACCCAAGTCCTGCTTTGAGAGAAGAGGTCTGGGCTCGTAAATATATACAAGGTTCTACCCGTCAAGCAGTATACCCATAACGCCAACATCATCACATTATAGGAAACTAGTAGGCCCTACCAAAAAAAGAATCAGAGATGATAATCACCAGCTAAGGTTACACATTCTTCTCACATTCTTTGACATTGTTACTAGACACAACTGCGATGAGGTCGAAGGTGCTGGAAAGGCTAGTAGGAAATAGACACGGGGTGAATTTATATACTATTCAATATCAACTTTCTCGTACTTACTACACTGCAGATCTTAACTAAATCGCTGCTTGCATGATAGGTCATAGGTAGATACATAACTATGATGTCTCTGACAAGAGCCCGTCAACTCAAAGACCATGTCTTCCTAAGACTCTGGACTATTTGAGAAGAAAGATCTAGTTCCACCACAGATATTGTCGAGCTCTTTACCGAGATAGTCTTTATTTATCAGTCTCCGGTGGTCTGCTACTACTTCTTAGTACTGGTGTTGTTTAGGTGCTGATTTACATACACCCAAGATATTGTTCAAACTATCAATAACATGTCGTCTGAGTATATGTTGTGTTAAGTAGTGTACTAAGATTCAGTGGACTTTACCCGCAAGGAGAGAATTAAAGCTAATTAATAGAGAGTGTGCAAATTCATTCATTCATTCGCATAATAACGTGTCGAGAACTAGCGTTGAGCATGGCTGCTAGATGAGATATTTTTGTATATCTGAATCATACATTGGAGTAGACTAGCAAAAGAAGTAATTGAAGCATCCACGTAGGTTGGGGCAAGGGATAATTTTGTGTTTTTTGTAGGAACTTGAGTGAATATGCGACCAGTAAAAACGAATATAGTATACATGTTCATTCTCAAGAGTCTAGTAAAAGACCAAGCCAGTCTCCTTCTTTCTACCGGGAAGGAGTCTGGATATCCCATAGTATAATTTCTCGAAAGAAACATCTGGTCCCTAATGTACCCCCTCAATAGCTAATGCAGCCATACTACTAAAGGAATGACACAACCGGCCTATACAGCATGACTTCCCTGACACCTACCCAGCAACAATCTGACAGATGAAATTCCCCTGGTTGTCAAATCCCACATGTCTATAGAATCATTCCACAGGATCGTATTGGACCGAATACCCCTTAGATATAGACTCATTCCAAGATCTATCTCTCTACAATAGTCACAGCAACCGGGGCGCAACACAAAATATACAACATAGATATATCCCCTTTGTATATTAGCCACCCCTGACTAGTTGAACGATCGACATACCAAGATCACCAGAGATACCAGATACCTGATGCTGCGACAGTGACGTGAACTTGGTATTCTGCAGAAGAGAGGGAGATGTGGGGTGGGGTGACGCTTTCAGGAATGTGGCGAGCGTCGGGTTCGGCCAACGAGTGCTTGTTTTATATTTAGTAACGGCATGGTTGATTGAGTGATCTCAGACATATTATGTATGTTGTTTCAGTTCTATATACAGATAAGTGGACGTTGCTGTGGGGTTGTTTGGGGAGGTTTTGTTAGGGAGTGTGGTTTTATTTTTGATGCTGATTGATTGGTTTGATTGATAGTCCTGGGTGGCTTCGGTGGGTGACTTGGGAGAGGGTGTTGGGAGATGGTGTTGTGGTTAGCTACTTATGTTTTCGGTGATATATATTTTGGTGTGATGCTTAAAGTGGGGAAGATAGTAGTGATAAATTGAAACATGTGATATGTATTCGGTTTTCTTGAGCCTTAGACCGAAATTATGCATATGAGGCTAAAGTGGAATTCGTGGCTGTCAGCTCGAGGATACATTTTGACCACATACTATTGTAGTATATTATAACAGCGATTGGGCGGTGGTTACCTCAGATACAAGCCAAGGGGGTTATGGTAGTCCAGTTCGATTTCTTCATCCGCCACATACTACTACAGTACGATATGCCTAAACATACTGATAGTTTCCATAGCAAGAAAGAGCGGTATCCTCTATCCAGAATATGGATAGGCCGCTGTCAAAGCATGGAATACGGAGGTGCCTAACCGTCCGTTGTGTTTCACCATTGGTGACAGATGGACCCTGCATTAGTTGACTAGCACATGACAGGTTGTTTCTGATGTCATGTGAAAGAGACACACCTCAGTTCGCCCGTAAGATCTTACAGTAGAACCAGCGGATGCGTGGACATTCTCATCACATGTGATGAGACCAACGGCTGACTGCTAGGTAGGCAGGTACGTTGTTGTCCTTTGCTGGTGCCAGCAGAGCTTTTGCTGTGTTTGGATGTTTTCCCGGGCTATCGGCTGTTTTCTCCACCATCAAATCAAGTCTCGGAAGTTACCACAAACAGATTGGCAAGATATTGCTTGGCGAACCAAAACGTCATTCCATTCCCTCGACGAAGATATGAAGAAGTTAAAATAGAAGCGTTGCCACGGATGGCTTCTCACAATAAGCCGAAAAGGGTCCTTCGTTCTGGAGAACAAAGTAGATAGTCTAGATAGTCGATAGATTGTCTTACCCCTCCCTACTGTAAGTGCTACTGCTAGCCTTGTGGTCCTTGGGGCACTGAGACCTTGTTGGTTTTCGCTTTCAGGGGGCCGCAAAGATGACCTAAAAAAAGAGTAGACAAAAGAGGGGAAGTGCAGGAAGACAAGAAAGAAAGAAATAAGAAAAAACCGATCTAGCTAGCGTAGGTACCAGTTAGTCTTTTTTGGCACAGGGGTGGGCAACGAATGATGAAGGGTTTGGTTGGCAAAGAATGGGCCAAGTCAGGCACCGTCGACGCGTGATAGGCCAGATGGCCGGAATGGGGAAATTACCGGCGAACCTTAGCAAGCACGCCAGCAACCATGCCAAGGCCGACTAGGCGTAAAGCGGAGTCTTGGGCCACGCTTGAGTGGAGGGCCAAAGACGAGTTTAGTCCCCTTTTGGTCGAGGACGAGTAAACAGCTGACTAGACTAACTGCTAATAGTACTGGTAGTAAACTCTGCCCCAGGCCAACTGTCCACCCACCCCTGCCTGCACTCGGTCTGGACTGCGCCTAAGCGCCCTTGCGCCTCGTTCCTGTCGTGCCGGCGCCCACCGGCCTGCTCCTCTCCCTGCCCTGCCCGGCACTCCTCTCCTCCTCCTCCCTCCGTCGTCTCCTCTTTCTCACCCTTCCTGCGCTCGCTCTCTTTTCTGCCCTTTCTTTCCCTTTGTTCCTTTTCTTCCATTCTCCCAGGCGACAACCCCCATACCAACCCCTCCCCTCATTCTTCCTCCTTCCTCCACCCCCGTCACGTTCTCTTTTCCCTAAGCAGGTGTCGGCTTCACTCTTTCAGCTGCTCACCTTGCTGTCCGTTCGTTCGCTATAATCAACCTGGTCGATTTCCATCACCCCAGTTGAAGCCAACCTCCCCACACTCGCCTCGACTACTTGATCCTACCGACCTGATACATTCCCTCCTTTTGTCCAACGATCCCGTCTCCAACCGGTCCTTCCATACGAAAAAGAAAGAAAGCAGATCCGACAATCTGATTCTATCGCCACAAGACCCTTGTTGAGACACATTGTAAGTGACTGTCGACGACAGGCCGCTGTGCTCTGTGCCATATCCAGAATTGACCCGGGTATTGGAGGAAATAGTACAACTTCAATTCTTGAAATAACTTCGCGTATACCGAAAAGCACGCGGTTACTATCCAAACTCTTTCATTCGGATTGCATCCGAAGACCTATCAAACATAAAAAAAATCCAACCATCAAAATCATGTTCAACCCTATTTCGAAGCTTGTTCGGCGCGGTGATTCTGAAAGCAACGATGGTCTCTCTCCCTACATGGTCGATCTCCTGATTTCCCTGCTGGTTCTCATTCTGCTCGGTCTCGCCCTGGTCGGTGCTCTTCTTGTCTTGCGCCGCAAGCGCCTGAACCGCGAACAATCCGAACTTCCTGTACACAACGGGCAATGCGTGCCCAACCACCGTCGATTCACCGTCTCTGCTTCGCCGAACGCCAAGACAGAGTCCGTTCTGGTTTATGATGAGAAACGCAGTCTCATTGAGAATTCGTCGAGTCCCCCGCCCAGTCCGGTTCCCGAAATCCGCATCACGTTCCCGGAGGAGGAGGACGAATCCGGCAAGCGCAAGTCGGGTCGAGTTGTGGTTGTGAGAATTACCGACGCAGGTGGAGTGGGCTTGGAGCCTTGCAACGAGGAACTTCCGCCGTATCAATCCAGCGATGCGGAGCGATTCCAGTCGTTGGATATCGAGCGCATGGGTGGGCTCAAAGAAAAGGAAGCCACCAATAGATGGTCTTAGAAGGATCGAACTGCTGAACGACAAACCGTCATCTGCTCATTCTTCCCATCGACTGATACCCCCTCGAATGACCGACGTCGCCTGTTTGTCGCACCTGGACGAGATTCGAAAAGCATGACGATATCCCGGCGAAGATTTGCCTCGTTTCCATCTCCGTATTTAGACCGCTCTGCTTCACATTACCTTCGCGACTTGCACATACGCAAATACTCCGTCCTGTTTAGCCACCACGCTCGCCGTTTGACCCTGGGTTTCAGTATCGACCAAACTTCAAGCGCGTCAAGTTAAAAACTGACCCGATCAGTGCATACTGGCCCGACCTCTGTACAGCAAGGCTTGCTGGTTTTTCTTGATATTTTGTGCTTTATTCTCCTTGATAAGGCGTTCATTTCTTGTGCTTGGTCACTTTGGTTCTCTTCACCCTGCCACGTCACTAGGGTTGAAGAGACGTTACGCATTGGTTTGGTAGAGATTTCATTCTCCTTTGCATTCTTACTTGCTTCTTATCTTACCCTTCTCTTCTCCCACGCTCGCCCTCTACAAGTCTCGGGTTTGCGTTCAGGGGTGTCTTACAGCTGGATAATGTATGTACCTAGTCTGACTCTGCATTGGATGGCCGCCTCACGAGGTGTGAGCCCCAATGAATGCGTTTATTTGATAAATACATGAACTCTTGATCAGCGACTTGACGAATTTCAATTATATTGGACCGGTGTCTACCCGTCCACATGACATAAGCTCTGACCTAGGAGTGACATTTGGTTCAGCCGTGCTTACAAGACAAGATGTACAATGAAAGCAGTTTAGAACCTTTACTCAAGGGCAAACTGGTCTAAAAGCCGTTCGCACCATTAATGGTCCCGGCAAACAAGGAGAGAACCCCTTTGTCTTCTAGCCAAATTTATTTGCCCTTGTGAGTGGCAAACAAAGCCTGAAAGGGTCTCTTGAAACATTCCACCAAAGAACAGGATTAGCTCGCCGTGGGACTGGAATTAGGGCGGGAATTGAAGCTAAAAGTTAATTTATACCAAGTACTAACTTGGCTTATTTGTTTAGCCAAGAGAAAATAGATCATTGAATGTATTATCTGAGTCGACACTAGGTTTGTCTGTCCTGTTCCTTCAGCGGATACGAAAAGATCATATTCGTGAAGGTAACGATGTAGTGGGTTTCTCGTATGACAATATGATATGGCTTTGGAATTGAGTCATTGATTATAATAGTTGGATTGGTTTCTGACTTGCAGGTTGTATACAAAGTGATTGTATTGGATTTGATCTTGTTCGTTATCTCCCTAGTGTATTGGGTTAGCACGTGGATTTAGTTATGTTGGGCATAAAAGCTTATATAAGGTGGCTTAATGTTGATTAGCTATATAGTTCGTTGGTTGTTCTACTCTTTATCATACATACCACTTCATTTCAGCCAACCCAAGCTGTTGATAGCCAGAGACACACTTATCCGTGGGGAAATCATTGGCTATTGCCAGATAAGACAAGGAGCTTACCGAGCATTCTAACATTCGCCTCATTCACCATTTGAAGCCTCCGCCATGCGCGATAATCAGGCAGAGGAGAGCGCAGATAACAGCTATCCCATGGAACGTACCTTATGATAGAAGTCGAAACAAGACGGATTCTACCATAATGATGTGCCGTCCAATGAAAGTGCATGCTTGTTCTTCCTTTGTCTCTTGCTATGGTAGGTTCAGATGCCACCGCGTGATATGCTTTCAATGGCGGTGATGTGGTATGCTCTCTTCGACATCGGAGATTGTTAGGAAGATAGCTTGAGCATGAATGGATAGAGAGGTACCTCCCTTGGTGTAGTGAAAGTCACAAGATACACTGATGACTCTATGGTTTCAGGTACCTCGGGTTCGACCACCGCACAGCAAATCAGAAGATGGGGAGTTTGCTGAAGGCGAATTGGAGTTTGAGACATCATGCTTTGACTGAAAGAACAGAGAGGAAAGCCCTTCAATGACAGTCGGATTCACGAGATGCACGAGGTACAACGGCAAAGATGCTGGATACAATACAGTGTGAGGACAAGTACCTCAACGGCCGTGTCCGTCTCGTTTGATTCGCAAGAGGTATCTTCCTCAAGACACCAGCAGGTCACAAGGTCATTACCAAGAGGTCTTGATCGGCTATACTCTGTGACCAGATGGATGAGACCGAGAAACGTATTCTCCAAGATCAACAAAAACAGAACTGATGATTCAATCTTAACTTATAAAGATGCCCATTACGTCCACGGCATGATTGGAAAAGAAACTACCACTCAATCCCTCTCAATCCATCTCATCGCCTCTCATCCCATCTTGTCTCACTTCACTCTACTCCCTTGCACTATGGCTACTCCAGCTCTAGTTCCTGCCCCGGCTTTGCCACCGGATTTATCTTTCAGTGTCCCCAACCCTGCCAAATTTTCTGCATCCCCGAAGCAGGAGTTGAGACGATACGTGGCATGGCTGCTGAGGGAGGCCGAGGTACCTGCTTTTCTTTGGGGGCCTGAGGTAACGCGGATATACGGAAGCAATACCGATTTTGAAGTAAGTGTCCTAGAATATTCCCTACCCCTTCACCTTGTATAATCATTGTCAGCTGCTAACATTTCTTCTTCTTGCACAGTACAGCATGTGGGCAGTGAAAGATGAGGCCATGAAGAAGGCCGTGCAAGTGCTCAACGAGGCCGGATTACGACCCTGCAAAAAAGGCCGTCGTTGCGCGAAGCACAGGAGCCTTCCATTTCCCGACCAACATTACCACAAGGTCCTCAAACATTTTAATACCCATGTCAGTCACGGCGTTTATCTGTACCGGAAGTCCCGGTTTTCCCACATTTTCCCGACCCGCCACTTGTCGACCCCAAGCCTGATGACCGATACTATATGCTCAGTTCAGACAAGCGGCTCCCAGACTGGAGCTATAGCTGTGTACAAGTACAACGCATGTCCAAGGATGGGTATCCCGTTATCATTCCTACTCCTGCCCGGTACCTAGAAGCCGTCTGCCTGCAGTCAGTCCGTCACTACGAAGTGCAGGATGGGAGTGACTTTTGGAACGAGGAGAGATACGCCATGATACATATCTTGGAAGATCGTTTTACTGATACATTGAAACTGGATGACCTTGATGAGCCATGGCATGAATATGGCAAACTAAATATTGACCGCGGTTATGGTGATCGCGCAGGTGACTATGGTGGCCAGAAATACAGGCTCTTCCTCTATCTGGACATGAAGAAGAAAGGTCAACTTCCACCACCCGAAACAAAGGCAAGAAATAGATGGTTAAGACCAATCCCGGACCTTGTAAGGGAATGGGGCCTGCCCCTGGATTTACTAGACTGATGGTTACCTTGACGCACAAGTCCTTTTTTTTTTTTTTTTTTTTTCTCAGTGATATTGACAGACGTGGCTTGCTTTGCCATTCATCGGGTACCTCTCGGATTTTCTCTCCTCTACATCATTACGCTCATTACAAGTATACTATATATATATACATATGGCTGCCTAGCACTATACAAACTGATGATAACTTCTTTTGCTACGGAAATATCACAGACGTGTAGTATCTTGTAAACCAAAAGCATTCTCCTTCAATTAAAAACCCCTTCACCAAGAGTAAGCATGTAATAAATAGTACTAGGAGACGTAAAAGCAGTCTAGGGATACGTTAGCATAACAATGTAGAAATCCACAAAACATTAATAAGAGACAAAGGAAACAAACAAATTAATTATGGGGCTAGGGAGATAACCGAAATGTAAAGAAGGAAAATGAGAAAGGAGACCCGAAATAAAACAAAAAGGCAAGAAAATGAAAGAAGCTGAAGCCCCGAAACCGCATGAGAGAGAGCCCACTCAGACTTCAAAAGGCTGTATCCCAATCATAATCTGACTTGCTTGCTTTAAGGGAGGGTTTCACAAGTTGCAGCGATGCCCACTGACGATCCATGAGCCGGCGTCGGAATGATCGACCGGGGAACAGTTTCATTAGCTCGATAACATCAGTGGCATCTCTTTCATTCTGCTCCGTTGACCGGTTCCCACAAGCTTGGGCTTTGAATATAATCAATTCGGTCAGAGGAATGACAGGGAGATCATCGGGATCTAAATTGCCGCGCAGTTGCAGATTTTTCGGAATCGTCGCGAACTATATAGTACAAAGTAAAAATGATCGCGAGACCATATGATCAGTACTATGTAACTTCAATTGCATCAAGAGAGCCTTGGATTGCAAAAGGCGAGGATGTCTCCAGCCTGAAACTCACATCATCGGTTGGCAGGATGCCAATTCGAATAGTGTCATATATCGTATGCCAGACCAACTGGTCTCGCCGCATTTCAAAATTCTGCAGATTGGACAATACTTTCTTGAGTTTCGGTGCAAATTCCGGGGGGGAAGATCGCAAGGTCGAAATTGTCCTATAGCTATTGATCAGCCTGGACGCTGTAGTAGTCATGGGTAGGATCGATATCCTCCTACTCTACAACTCTACATACCCGAACGGAACGGTTTCTGACGTAGCAGCGCACTGCTGCACCCCCAACTATGACACATTGGGCCTGACCATACCCGGTGATAGCTTTGATCTCCGGACTATCTTTGAGGATTTGGAGGAATTCCTTAATCAATCGTAGCATGACGCTATCTGCTACCATAATGCTATGGAGTACGAATCTGTTGTGATCGCGAAGAGTGGTGGAGCTGGGAAGAAATCAGAGCTGTGTGATGAACAGAGAATAAGATAGTGAAGAAATCGCTGGATTTCGTCGTAGATTTATACATAACGATAAGCCCCTTCTCAAAGTCTAACAGCATATGAAAAGGATCACATGGTGGTATAGTCGCTTTCGCAGTATCTGCGCCCAACTGTGGACCATCAAGAGGCGACTGAGTGCAAGCTGAACAGCCAACCTCAGAGCTCATCCCCAAAGTCAATCACCAAACATTTCCAATGAGAGGATGATGAGGAGCACTGTGGCGCATTCATGTTGTTCTCGCTCAAGGAAGCTTCTAAGGCTGAAACTTGTTACCACTGGAGAACCATCCCGTTACTGAAGTAGCCAAGCTGAGATGATAGACTGTCACCCAGGTATGATGGACCCGACACCATCGGATCTTGGTGAGACAGGACAATTTGGAAACATAGCGGGCCCGCACATACAAGCTCAGGCCTGAAACAAGAAAGACACATCCAGCGCAGGCTAGGAAGGAAACTTCTTGTAGCGTCGTCAGAGAGACGGAGATGGAGAGAGCCCTAAAATCAATAGGTCGCCATCCGGCGGTGATGAAAGCTTCATGCTTCTTTTTATTGTATAGGAGGCATAGATTTTACACACAGCCCAAGCAGATGGACATTGTAGGGACAGCCAAAGATACATTTCTCTGTAAGAAGAATGCCCTCCGGCGTGCGTGCAAGTAGTTCTGATGATATTGGCAAGTCAATTTTGAGTGACTGTCCTGTCACTGGGGAGTTCTGTGGCTATTGGAATAAGGTTAGCAGTTCGTATTTGCAAGTGCGATCCCGTTAACAGTAGAGAATAACTTTAAGAATACTTCCGGGTCCGGCCAGTATGGGGCGTCCAGCCAGCCTGTGGTATTCTCACATTATCGCTAAAATTTTGCGGAGAGGGTCACATATGCCTGACTGGCGGGTGAGGAAAGGTGGAATGGGATCTAGATATTGGATACATAATCATCCGATCTCTGGAATCCGCAAAACTTCCCCTGCCGCCTATACCAGTCGGGAATGATCGATCGATCGCGTGGGCTTTTCGCAAGAGACCGTGTGGTTAAGCTGAAACCTTTTCAGGGCCAAGCCCCAACTCCCTCCCATTGACATCCGACCAATTCTGGGGCCACCACTACGGAGTATTGACAACAGCCCTTTCGCTCTTTTCTTGACCAGCATTACGTATGTGTTGGACTCTCTTAGATTGATAAGCTAATAACAGCCCGCATTAGTCTATTGTGATCGACAGCCTGCAAAGATCCAGAAAGCGCTTCCTCTTCCTCCCACTCCGGCCCGAGACAAGAACGCAATCTAGCTGACGCCACTTTGCTTACCCAGAGACTCCGTATACAGTATTTATTCTGGGAAGGAAAGTGGCGTAAACGCCTCACGGTGTGCTCTGTAAGTTCTAGAAGGAAGTCGAGAGGGATCACCATATTAAGCCCAAAATCTTAATGTAGTGTCAGGCCCCCTGCAGCTAGCTGCTCCTCATGTGTTGGACTTTTGATGCAGCATTTGGGAGAAATCTCCCAAGACTAAATATATGGGACCCTGTACTGTAAGCCAAGTACCAACTAAATTCTTCACCATTCCTGCTGCCTATGCGTCTTTTCCTGAGAACCTCTGTGAAGATCCAGATAGGTTTTAGATAGATCCAATCACACGCTTCCCTGTCCTGGTCCCTCCGATGTACAGGAATTCTGTCGAATCCCAAGAAAAGGTCAGCTGCCACAATGTATCTCTGTCATGTCTTGCAACTTCCCCCTAGGTGATACGTATAAGTAAGTTTTATACTCATAGGGTATTTCACACACTTTCTACACAACTAGTGAGCACACCTCAGCTGTCACAAGGTTTTATAGCCAATCTACCCTGCAAAACAATAATGTACAAAATAAGAACATAAGAAAATAAGAAACAAAGAAAAGAAAAAGAATTCTCCTTCACTGCCCTTGACCTATACTGAAACCACACACATCTTCATCTTCTCCTTTAACTCAATCTATCAGACCCGCTTTTACGACTGGCAGAGTTATCCACTGTTTGATTCTAGAACATGACTCAGGCCACTATCGTAATTACTGATCTAACCATCATGCTGTGGCGTTGATCGATTTAGGTTTGCGGCCGATAGTTTGAACTAAGTAGTTATATGAGATGGGTGATATACCATGTAAACTACTGTAGGTATAATAAACAAACTACTACTTACAGGGCGGGTGCGGGAAGTGGGGATCTACTATCAATCAAATATCAATGTATCTATCTACGATCTACTATGTAGTGTCATTGATGTCTTGGTATCTAGTTGTATGAACTTTATTTGGCACTGCTCTCCTATCGCAGAGTGAAAGCAAAATGGTAATTCACTTCCAAGTGTCAGATGGTGTTAAGGGCGGAATTGATCATCAATGAAGTAATAAGCTGTCTGAAATGGAGTTGAAAAACACTAACGTCATAACAACGTTTCTAGTCTACGCAGGTGACAATGGTGCGATACTACATCTGATTATTTATTTCATTTCCCAAGGTATGCCTGAGTGGACCAGGACAGTAAAACATCGCAATGAAAGAAACAGGAGGTAAAAAGAAAAGAAAGACTTTCTGAGGACAGTGAACTTTTGTTTTGCGTGCTGCAGGGCAAAAGGGGTATTTACACAAGTCGCAAAGCATGGGTGTTAAGATGTACAGTCATCCGTCGTAGCAAAGGGGTCATAAGTGAGTCAATGAAAATCAGGTGAACTATTATTGTTTCGTTCTCGTTTTTCTTTTCTGGCCCCGGGCTTTCCATTACTGATTCGGTCGAGCTAAACCAAGATAACTTGTGGCTTTCAACGACCCCAGCGCGAAAAGTCCAAGTTCTGCAGGATATTCGTGTCTGCAGCCGCGTTCCAATCGGTCGCAAAATCGGTCCGGACAGAGGTGTTGCGCGAGGGTACTTCTTCGGAGAATATGTTGGCTTTGGTGTTGCGGCGTTGACCGGGATAAGTCCCTTCGGCAGCCTCAGAACTTTGAGCCTGGTTTCCTAGCGCTCGCTCGCGAAGTCTCTTGATCTCACGAAGTCTGTTGCGCCACGATGAAATGTGCTCGCCTCCTTGGCTGTGCCAGACAAGCGAGAAAACAGACGCGTTGAGAGCGAGAATCCGAACGAACGGGGCCAGGTTCTTCCCGGAGATAAGCTTTGGCACCGCAGCAGGTGATATTTCTGGAAACCCAGGCTTGCTCATCACCTTCACTTGGTAAAACATGTTCTCAAAATCGGTTCGTCCCGACTCCGCGCTGTTGGGATCATTGGTGAGACGGCACACAGGGTTGATAACAATGTTGACAAAGTTGAATTGAGAGGGTATCGTATTGAAGTTGAAAGGTGTGTTCGACCGGTTGAACACGATGTTGACGAAATCATTTCCTATGTGGCGTTTCTTGTTGATGCAGGATGGATCGTTATCAAAGTTCGTAGGCATCATGGTCGGAACATGGTAGACAATCTCCGTAACCCGGTCACGCCACGCATAAGTGAATTGGCCATCAAAGTCCGCATGCAACCCTTGGGTATTGAATCGAGCACCCTGGAGCGGTACTTTAGTTCCGAGTTTTGACAGAAAGTATTCGTAGTCTGGGCTGCCGCTGGTATTCGACAGAATTTCTGCTTCAGTGGTCTGACCGTTGTCGATGTATATGACACCAATCTTGTGTCCATCCACAATGTCATTGCGGTCAAAGGTGTTCAGTGCTCGGCGTGTAATGTCATCATCGGGAAGAGGAATCGGTTGCATCACCGTAGGTGTCGGGAAAGCCGTGGTTGTCAGCTGAAGCATGATATGGCTCGGAAGGACAGCAGTGCGCATGGTGTCAGAATGCAAGTGGGCATCTGGCGTGGGTGGGACTTGGTGAGGAAGAACAGGTGCAGTTCGTTGCTGAAACATTGCGTAGGTAGTCCCTGACGCTTGCCTCTTGGTGACCTGAGTCAAGCCTGATACTCCAGCCGTCTCAACAGTCACGATGCTCATACCTACAATCCAAGACTTCTTCACTGCAGGTCCATCTTCAGGCGTGGGGGGAAAGGTCGGATAGGGTATAGTGTCCCCCAAATCCGAAAAGGCCGCTCTCTGCATCAGGTCGATGAAGACCTGGCTTGGCTCTTCGACTGTCTCTCTACCGTGTTCATCCCGATATATGAGTCTGCTAGTTATCCAATTCACGTGTTTGGCTCGATCCTGCAATTTCAATGAAAGAAACCAGAAGATCATGACATGATACGTAAGAGTATATATGTATCTTGACATCCCGTCCTGGAGTGAAGAATCAGACGACTCTGCGGGCGAAGCCATAGTATCTCGGACACCACTCCCAAGTCTTGTTGGAACCTGAACATTCCTGGTGGGCGACTCAGAAGCCTTGAATCGCTGTTCCCTGGAAGTCTGTAAGAATCGGATACAGATGCCGAAGACAGTGCGGATCTCTTCCTCGCGTAGGTTGATATAGACATCAGGAAGGCGTGCAAGAAGAGCCAAAAACTCCAAGATGTGCACAGCAAGATTGGACATTGTAATCACTTTGGACATCTTATCAAGGATACCGTTGAGTGACTTAGTTACCGAAAGGGGAATTTCATGGCAACAGACAGAGAGCGCATGTATGCATCCGCGAGACGTGCCACCCCAGGATCCAATGATACCCATCATGAATGCACGGACAAGCTCGTCTTCTTCGCTTTTGGCAAAGTGTTCATGATAGCTGACTAGGGAGCAGAGAAATTCGAAGATGTAACCAGCCACGTCGGTCTTCTTTCCACCTGTTGACGGTGGAGGCTCACGAAACGTGTCATTTTTCACCTGATCGCAAAGGATACTGCGCAGTAATTTGATTTGGGGAACTGCGTTGCTGAAGAGATCTTTATTCTGAAGTTGGCTTGCAAGATGGGTG